GGGGGGGGGGAATGAACAAAATCAATGTTAAAGACAATCTCTAAATTCCCCACTATGGTAAAGGAACAGTGATCATTCCTTATGCAAAAACGTCTCTGAAGAGTAAGAACAAGTGAAAAAGAAGAACTAGAACATGAGCTTGGGCAGTTCAAAAAATTACAGCGATGAGTACAAACTAAAACTTTCATCAGCAATATCCATTTTCTAGTGGAATTATTAAATCCTGGGTCTGGCTTTACCATTCTAGAGATTACCTAATGAAAGTATTTCTACTTACTGCAGGGCTGAAGTCTCACTGATTTCTTCTATTTTCAATACTTTTGCTTTTGGAATATCACCTGTGGGCAAAAGGTCGTCCTGACCTGAATTCTTCTTACTGGCGGCGCCTGTGGTTGCTGCTACATTTGCTTCATTAATCGGATTACTCTCTGGAGCAGAAGCGGTAGTGCTCTCTGGTACATCAATAGTCTGTATCAAATTACCAGTTTCTTCAATAATAACCTTCTTGAGTGGTTTCTAAAACAATTAAAATCAATTCCTTAAATCAACACATAAAGGTTTCCTATTTTAGGATTATAAATTAAAAGGTTGCAGTGTTCTTACAGCCAATATGCCAGTTATAAGTGAATTCATTTGATGGCTAGACAGACGCAGGAGTCATACTCTGTCTGAGAACACAAATAAAAAGATGCATAGCACCTACCATATATAGGCCTAAATAGGGGAAAGAAGATGTATATATAAATAATTACAAGGCAATGGGATACACACCATGAAAGGTGAAAGCACAAACCTGTAAGAGAACACAGAGGAAGGTAGATAAATATTGGCATTGGCGGAGATGTCACAGAAAAATTCCCCAAGAATGACAATGTGGAAGATTAACTATGGTATGGTCGGTCAGTGAAAAGGTGGTAAGTCCGATAGGGCTGGTGCAAGGGGAGGAGTGATGGAGACAAAGCCTAAAAAGCTCGTTAAAACAGCTTATAAAAGGACCTGTGTGCCATGTTAAGGAGTTTGGAATTTATCCTAGAGCCAATAAAGCCAAGAAAAAATATGACCAAACTGAGAGCAGTATTGTGGGTTAACTGAAGGCAAGAAGAGCAAGGCTAGGATTAACCAGCATTCTGTATGAAACAGACCAACATTAAAACCTGAATACATTTTCTATATAAGTGGCAGCTGGACAAAACCAGCCCAGGATTAAAGGTTTGCCAAATAATATTCACCCACTAGGTAAGTACTTGACCATAATAATGGTTCTTAATTTAAAAAAATTAATTGCATTCACTCTTTCAATCATTACAAGTATCAAACATTTTCAATTTCTTCTAAAGTTTACATATACAGTAGTACTCATATTTTTAACGAAAAACTTTCTTCAGTGTGCTGTTAAGTGTTCAATCCAATTGTATAGTTGAATTTTAAATCAAAAAGTTATACATATAAAAACTTTGACATATATACTAAACTCAATATTAAAACCAGACATTTATATTAGCATAGCTAAGCTAAGACCTAATGGGAACAATTGTTACTGGATAAATGCACATAAGAAAGCTATTAGCAAGTTTGTTAAAAGAATCCTGTTAGCAGTTCTATTTAAAAGATAATCATGTAAAGCTAAGGCCTTTGCTTTGCTGAGAACTATCATCAGCAATAGTTTTCTAGTAAGATATTGACCAAGAATGGAGCTGTGTTAGTGTTAAAAAAATAGACTATAATCTGACAGGCAATAATTACTGAATTATATCTATACAGTACCACTTAAAACCAAATCCTTTCATTGACAATAGATGTGTAAGCATGATTCTAATTAACAAATTTCCAAATAGATGATCTCTGTTAACTGCAGACCTGTAGGTACTGAGAGCTGCTAAAGGCTATTGATGATGCTTGGGAGAGATGGGGGAATGACAGTATGCAGGTAACAGATGTAAAACTCAAAAGATACCATTATAGAAAGGTTTATGAAAAGATATCAAAGGTTCGAGTCATTACTTTTTTAAAATTAAAATTTAGAAACATGATGTTTTATTTAGCTCTTTATTACGGCCATTTCAAGAAAAAGGAGAAGTAAGAATAAACAGAAAGGGAGAAAGAAAAGGCGAAGTACCAAAAGAAAGATCTTGAAGCTTTGATACGGGAAAACAGAAAAATGAAAATAAAATACATATTTTACCAGAGACTACGAGATCAGGGAAAACTTTCAGTTGCTACCACCCTATCAGGGAACCCCATGCCCTTGCTTAGCTGCTGTCCATCACTAGTCTCCCACACTCTCTCTGGAGATTGGCCTGAAGTACTCCCAGGCTGCTAGCCCTTGACGCACAGGCTACCTTGGCCTAGCCTCTCACTTCAATAAAGTAAACAACCCTAGAACCCTCTCTCCACTTTCTGGACTTTCTTCCTTTCCGCACCAATTTTCTCAGTGACCAGGTAGACTCACAAATATGTGACTGAGAATGAAATTAACATTTGTCTCACCTGACACTGCCTTATTTATTCCTTTAATCTAAACTGTGAGGTAAACTCAAGAAAAAGCAAGGATCACACAGGGATTGGGTAACTTGCCTGTGACTTCAAAGTTTATAAAGTGGGGTTCAAATCAACTCTAAAAAGCATTATGCCAAACTGCACCTTCCATTTTTTAAATAAATGTCCACATTTTTATTATGGAGGCCTATTATAAAAACAAACAGCCTTTTCCCCCCTTTCCTACTAGAATAATTTTGTTTGTGCTGGATCATTTACAGAATGGTTTACTCCCAGATCTCACTGTACAGAGGGGTTCTGTTTTGAGATTAAGCTACAAGAGACTTAAATTCATATTGCTCTTCACAATCATTAACATAAACTGATTTTTAAAGTGAGAGAGAAGAGAACCCAACAGATTTATAAAAGCTGTTGAGGGTATCTTGGCCATGGGACATTACACATACAGATATTTGATTTATGGAATGGCAATGTCTGTTTAATTATGGACAGCAAAGTCTGACAAAGTCTTTTTTAAAACCTGAATTAGTTTTTGTGAAGAAGTTTACAAAGTTTAAAAGTTTAAATCACATTTAATATTTAATCACCTATTGAAAAGAATAAAATAGCAAATGAATATAATGAATGAAAATGAATATAATGTACAAAAGCAACTAGCTTTATGCCTGGCACATAAAACAAGTACTATCACAGAAAATTCAAGAATAAAGTCACAATAAGAGCACTGGAAAATATTAGGCCAAAGATTCCCCTATCTGCTACTAATCTGAAACATGAACTTGGCAAAACTTAAACATTCTTTGCCTCACTTTCTTTCTTTGTAAAAAAGAAGATAAAAATATCTGCTCTGACTTCTTATAAAATTGTTATTTGTCTCAAAGCAATGTCCGTGCGTAACAGTTAATTCTAGAGGGCAGAGTGAGGATCATGATCAGTGAGGGGGGAGGCAGGGAAATTTGGGGGGAGGGGCTGATGTCTTTCAATTTTTTGAACTGGTTGGTGGTTTCATGGGTGTTCACTTTATAATTATTCTTTAAATCAACGCATCTTGTGTACTTTTCTGTATGTATTTTATCTTTCAAAAATTTACATATATATTTTAACTATGTGAATTTTGGAAAGTTCCCCAGAGTCACATTATATTATTTGCCTTAAATGAATTCAATTTTAAAAGGTTAGCACAGCCTGGCTGGTGTGGCTCAGCAGTTGAGCATTGACCTATGAACCAGGAGATCGAGGTTCCATTCCCAGTCAAGGCACATGCCGGGGTTCTGAGCTCGATCCCCAGTCAGGGGCATGCAGGAGGCAGCCAATCAATGACTCTCTCATCATTGATGTTTCTGTCTCTCTCCCCCTCTCCCTTCCTCTCTCTGAATTCAATAAAATTATATTTTAAAAATAAATAGCCCGGCCGGGTGTGGCTCAGTGGTTGAGTGTCAGATCCAGGCGATCAGGGTTCGATTCCCGGTCAGGGCACATGCCCAAGTTGTGGGCTCGATCAATGACTCTCTCATCATTGATGTTTCTATCGCTCTCTCTCCATCTCTTTTCCTCTCTCTGAAATCAATAAAGATATATTTAAAAAAAAAAAAAATTTAATAAAAATAAATAATAAATAAATAAATAAAGTTTAGCACAAAACAAACTGCTAAATTCATGACAGCTACTCTTTTTGTTCCAATATTGCAGGAAAAAAACTTGGCTTTGTTAGACTTAATGAAAAACAATATGATATACCAAAATGTGCAGTACATACTATAAAATATAACCTTGCCTATACAAATTTAAAAGTATTTTTTAAATATTCTAAAAAGAGATTTCTTTTAAGAGATTATTAATTCAACAGTTTGTTTTCAACTTTTATTCATACCACACTGATACCTAAATAGAAAAAAAAAAAAGACAAGTGTTTTACTTACAGTTGATCCAGGATGAAGTGGATTATCAATGGGTTTTATCACGTTTTGCCTTTGAGTAGAATCAAGAAAGACATCATCCCAGTGTCCTTTCTCAATTAATTCCTTGAAAATAGATTTGTAATCATGACTATAAAAATATTCTCGTTAATTATGCAACAAATAAATGTGTTTATGTTGCAGAAAATATAAGCATATTTTGGTGAAGAGAATATATTACCTTTTTAATCTTAGAAAGTTCAGTTACCGCTTGCTTATTTCCAGGTTCCAGAAGTAAAACAGTTTCAAAATCTAAATTGAATTTTTTAGAAATATAATAAATTAGTGAAAATACTTTATAAAGTTCAAAACATGATATATTTAGTTAGTTTAGTAACCCCATGTATATCTCGAGAAGTTTTACTCAGTATGCTAGGAAACAGGTGAGCAATAACAAAGACTAACATTTACTGAGTGCTATTCTCTGTATGAATTCTCCTGTTTCCCTCACTACAACCTCACTTTACAGATTATACGACTAAGGCCTAGAGGTCACCTAACTTACCAAAGTTCATACTGCTAACAAATGACAAAGTAACTCCTAACTAGATTCTCTTAGGAGAGAATCTAAAATAATTCCATGTAGTAGAATATTATTCAGACTTAAAAAGGAAATTAATTGTAATACATGCTACAACATGGATGAAACTTGAAGACATTATGCTAAGTGAAATAAGCCAGACACAAAAGGACAAAATACTGTATGGATCTACTTATATGAAGTACCTAGAATAGTCATATTCAGGGACAGAAAGTATGGTGGTTACCAGGGGCTGGAGAAAGAGAGGAATGGAGAGTTACTGTTTAATGAGTAGAGTTTTCAGAATGAAATGATGAAAAAGTTCTGGAGATGGATAATGGTGATGGTTTGCACAAGGTGAATGGATTCAATGCCACTGAACTTAAAAATAGAACAGTAAATTTTATGTTATGTATATTTTACCATAATGAAAAAATGCATGGGCTACAGCTGAAGCCAGGTTTAGAGAGAAACTGACAGATTTAAATGCATGTATCAGGAAAGAAGACAGACTGAAAGTCAATTATCTAGGTATTAATGTTAAAAAATGAGAAAAACAGCAAATTAAACCTAAAGACAGTTAAAGGAAGGAAATAAAGAGCAGAAATAAATGAAACAGAAAACATACACAACAGAAACAAGTTGGTTCTTCAAGACAACTAACAAATACTTAAAAGACAGATCATGGAAAAATAAAATAACTAGTATCAAGAAAAAAAGGGAGTGGGAGCATCACTACAGATCTCACATTATCCTCTACCCACCAGTGGCTGATTCCCTTCCTTTTCATTCTTGCCTTTTTCTTGCTTTTTTCTTCTCACCCAGAATTCAAATCTTCAGTAATTTTGATTGGCAACAAGCCAGATTGTATTGTATGCCATCAAAAGATAATCAGGTCTAATATAGAAGCTGCATTCCTTCAAATCTGCAAACCTATTCATGATTTAACCTGAGAAAGAAAATGTACTTCTTTCTCTAAGTTCTGTACCCTTGAACCATGGGAAGGCTACGAAAATCTCTGCTTCTACAAGTTGGGAGTCTCATCAGGATGAGTGAGTGCCTGTTGTTATAAAAATAGTCATACCTTGTTTGGCCTCATTTAACTTTCCCAAAAATGTTCTTGCAGTTCCTCTTCTGGCAAAAGCTTTAGAATATGAGCCATCTAACAAAATAGCTTGTGTGCAGTCCTTTTCTGCCTCTTCATATCTATTAAACATAATATAATTACCAACTGGGAAAATGCAGCCTATAGAAAAACTTCACATAAACTGAGTTTCTAATAAAAAAAAAGCATGCATATAATTTCAATTACCAACCCCCAAATCTCTGTTTGAGAGAAAAAACGATTGTAAAGTTTTATATTCTCACCAAATCTCGGGGAGGGAGAAGGCAGCAGATTAAAGGAAAGTCAGAAGAGGATGGAATTTGGATGGTAAATGAGCAGAGCAGATGAAAGAACAGCACTGCTGGTTGTCTGCCACCCCCAACCTCAATAAGCGCACATTACGTTAACAATTATGCCTGCCATTGATTTTCCAATAAAACATCATTAATATTTACCTATAGTACACATTACCTAAGGAAAAACAACCCACACAAAACATGATACATGTGAAAGTATACCATCTGGCACTTCATGAATTCTACTCAGTCATGCAACCAACAATCAATTCAGTCTGACTGGGTACTGCTCTACGATAACAAGGACCGAAGAGCTGAAACAAAAAACTTGAGACCTTCCTATATATTAAAGTGATGTTAATAGTTATTGTGGCCTGGCCGGGCGTAGCTAGCGGTTGAGTGTCGACCTAGGATTCAGGCGATTGGGGTTCGATTTCTGGTCAGGGCACATGCGGGGGTTGTGGGCTCGATCCCCAGTCCGGGGCGTGTGGGAGGCAGCCGATCAGTTATTCTCTCATCATTGATGTTTCTATCACTCTCTCTCCCTCTCCTTTCCTCGCTCTGAAATCAATAAAGATACATTTTTAAAAAAAAATAGTTATTGTGAATTTATTTGGCATAATGGTATTGCAGTTACGTATGAATTATCCTTTAGAGATGAAATGTCATGTCTGCAACTATTCACAATTCGGGAGGGAAAAAAAGCTGAAACAAATATGACAAACAAAGGTATGGCTTTTTGAAATCAGATGATTTGGTACACGGAGCTTGTTATACTACTTTCATGAAAGTCTGAGAAGTTTCAAAATAAAAAAATTTTTTTTAAACAATCTCCTGTGATTACACTCTCCCCAAGACCGAAGTAAATATCATACTACCCTCAAAACAAGATCTAATGTGAACAAAATCAAATTTTCTAATGAACTTAAACATCTCTGAATTCTTTAATTCATTTTTCAACAAGAAAGAATATGCCTGTGTGTGTGAGTATCCATGCCCCTACCAATATGTTTTCTACCTGACTGATCATATCATTCTCCCATCCAAACTTGCACAGCCCCCCCCCCACTCTGCAGGATAAAGTCAAGCTCCTTTGCCGAACACAAAGTCAGGGGCCTGCCTGACTCTCCGGCATTATCCTTGCCGTTATTCCCAGAATAACAGCCATAATATGGACGACTTGCACTTTCCAGAAGAGAAGTTACCATGAAATTTCCCTCTCCTAAGCCTCTGAACTCCACATGGACACTCGACCTGCTTTTTCATCAGTCTAACCCTTCAGATCTCAGTCAAGTTCGCATCCCTGTTTGGAAAGTTGCCTCTCTTTATATTCCTCATCTAGTCTGTATTGTATGACAACAGTCACCATGTGGTAGAGAAAACTTCTATATTAAGTGTGAATCTAAAAGATACACTAGAAAAAATACAAGTAAGAGTCTAACTTAATTTAAAATATATTGTTAACTTACTATAATATACTAATGTTATTATCAACTAAAACAACAAAATAATACAATAAATTAGAGCTCTCATAAATGTAGATATAATTTCTCACCTATCAGAAGGTATTATTCTTGGCATTAGTCAAACCTAAGAATCCAGGTCTTACAATTTTTAAATCATGCGCAATTCTTGAATAGCAAAACACCAAAATTTTCATAAGCTAGTAAGACATGCAATGATCTTTACTCTGACTAATCAAAGTAATATATCTCTAAGTTATGTCTATTAGTTTCAGTGAGGTTAAATATACAACCAGAATGTACTTCGACAGGGATTCCTAACTTGAGGCCCTTTGAGGAACCTGAAAACTTGGGTAGGAAAAATATTACATCCTTATTTTCACTAACTTTTAAATATAATTTCACTTTTGATTATAACTGTAGATAACAATCCACAGTAAAATTACAGATGTTTTCATATCACATTATATTTGTTACAGATATTCCAAAATATTGTTTTCAGATATCGCCATTTCGGAATTACAGTAGCAACTTAACCTGCTACTTGTTTGAATGTGATCATAGCATCCCTGTTTACAGATGCTTCTATGAAATAGCTAGCCAACAACTGGGCAATGCAATCCCTGGTAGTCACTCAATGCCAAAGGGTGAAGTCATATGTTATCATACTAGTAACATAATCATCAATGTTGCTTTCAGAGTAGTCCTAATCCACACTTATTAATCAGTATGTGTCAAAGATCACCCCCAAATTCTAGTGTCCTTATTCAAACCTTCACATTAATATCTTATAAAAAATTTTAACTTTAATGTGCCTATATTTTAAATGTAGTTTCTCATTATGCAGTGTGTTTAAAAACGTATATATCCTAGGATATCACAAATTTTAATATTTTTAAAACTATATTTCAATATAATTGGTTTCCTTTATAATCTTAAATGTATAAGTATATACTTAATAATTCTGAGAAAGGTTCACAAGGCAGTCAAAGGGGTCATTGGCACAAAACGTTAAAATTCCTATTTACAATATTTATAACATTTTTTTTTAATTCTGTCACTAGTGTGTAAAGTATTATTACAAAAGATACAAAGAAATGTAAGACATAGTTTCTGCCATCAGATATTATGCTGACTGCCCAACCTGGAGCCCCAGAGTGTATCTAGAAATAGCTGGAGAATATCACAGGACCAAGTCTTAATGCCATATATAATCAATTAGCAGTCTCAATGAACAGCAATTCCCTTTTGTTATATACGTATATGTATAAACATATTTATAAATATATATACAAAAAATACTTCCAGATAAGACTTTGCCCAAAGGATTCTAAGGTTAAAAATAATTTTCAAATCACTAATTCAGAATAACATGCATAAAGCAATTTAAAAAGTGCTAAACTGTATAATGCCAGACTACTTAAGTGTAAAAACATTTACAAGAGCTAAATTTACTTAATATATACTATGAAACACTTTCTCTCATTTTAACTTTAATGCTTAAGAGTAAATAAACTTTAATTTATTTAGCCAATATGCCAATTTAAGGTAAATTTCATTTTCATCCTGAAAAGCATCATCAGACATTATCTCATAAGCATTTCTCCATGTCATTAAAATGCCTTTGGAAACATTAAAAAAACCACAATACTTACTTCTGAATCTTCAGATAGGCCATTGCTCTGTTAGCTGGAAGAAGGGCATTATCGCCATCTGCTGCTATCCCTCGAGTATAGCATTCAATTGCTCTTTCATACTTTCCCTCTTTGAAAAATCCATTCCCCTATCATTTTGGAAAGTATGGAGAAGAATGAAAACATATGCAAAAAAAATTAGTTAAATTAAAATCTTAAACACTGCAAGGATACTATTCACCAATTTATTATACAAATAATTAAAGTATATTCTAATTGTTAAAAATCTAGTCCATGATACATGTTTTAGAATCCATTAGTTTGGTTTCTTTTATAGAATGGTGTTACTGTCTTCAGTACTAGATACTTAATAAATATATATATATACAGATATTTACACATATATATATACACACACATATACGTGTATATATAAACTACTCTATTACTCTGCAGCACTAACCATTACTGTACTAGTTAAGTATTAAACAAAGCTTAAATTTAAAAGCACATTTCAATAAATACAGGCCCAAATATTATACTCTTTAGTTATACTTGAAGCTGTACAAAAGAATTTCATAACTCAAATAACTTTTGTGAAAGAACAGAGTACCAGAACTGTACAACTCACTCTTCAGTCACATTCATACACCTAAATATAGGATAAATGAAGCTGTATTAAAATGTATATGCTAGATTTCACTGTAACATTTATAATCAAAGTCAGGTATATCACAATCAATAATCATTCCATAAGTATTTATTAGGAGTCTTCTGTGGGTCCATGAAAAGCTATAAATATACTAAATTAAATCTCAACTCAGAATTCCTATTGGAATTTTTATCAGAAATAGTCCAGTGTAACTAATTTAAAAAATTACAAATAAGAATGAATTATAATTTATTTCTGTTAAATTTATAACTACATGTAAATATGTTAAAATGCTCAAAGTAATTATTCCCGAAAAGTTTTGTTTTTTTTAATTATGTATTAAGTCATTGATTCTTCAAATTTTGAATTAGTAGGCTCCAGAAGTTTTATTACATTTAAGTTCCTACTGACATAAAATTTTACTATAATATTAGAAAAGACAAAAACTTAACTGATATGTAAGAAACTAAGAGTAAACTCAGCAAAATACATATGGTGGAATTCCTCTGGATTACCCGATCTTTCTCTGAAATGGCCTGCTGCTTATTCTGCTGCTCTTCAAATTGTTTTTTCTCTCCTTCGGTTGACTTAATCACTGTGTCAGCTTCCTTTGGGTGTGAGTTTTCTTTGGATGTTAAAGCCTAGGAGACAAAGACGCTGATATATATACTAAATATATATACATATTCAAATATATTAGAATTTCTGCCACATTTCAAAAAATAATATTTTTACTAAGTCAAAGTCTTTCTACTTATAAAAATAAAAAGCAGACTATAATAAAGTTAAATGTGCACCTTATTCCCATTAAAATAAGTAGTATCCACTAAAAGTAAGTGTTCTTTTATTTATTCATAAAATATTTATTGAATTTCTACACAGGCCTGGTACTGTTCTAGGAACTATTTTAAAAAATAAAATGGGTAATTAAGTCCACATCACCAAATTTCGCAAATTTAATTTTCACAGTCATTATTTGATTTAAGACAAAATACAAAAATATACAATACAGTTCACAATTATAATCAAGTTGATATATTTACCAACAGATTTTTATGTGCAATAAATAATGGCCATATTTAAAAGCAGATTTTCCCCAATCATTGTCATTTTTTTCTCAGTTTCAAAAGATGGCAAAATAATGATAACTGATTCAACAGCAAAGGGAAAGGAATCTGTAACTGTTCAGTATCGTTTGATGGCAAATCTTACATTTAAGTAATAACTACTTCCTTACTGTTAAAGAAATAGTATATAAATATGCTAAGATATAAACTACAAAGATGCAACTTAAAAATTACAAAATCAAAGAAATATGCAAAAGTTTAGTACAGAAATCAAAGCTCAAGCCGAAACAAAAAAATAAAATCAGTGGGATAATGAAAAATAATTCTGTCACCTGGGAAAAACCAAAGTAACAGTAGTTCTAAAGATCTCAGACAACTTTCCATAATGAAGATTAATTATGGATCTTTAAATACCATTATACTACCTCTTGTTTGCAAATCTGTTTGGTAAAGCTCTATAGTACAAAGAATTAAAATTAGAAAAATGTCTGTATTAAATAATCTATAGTACAAAGTCTATGCTAAAACCTTTACTTCATCAAATATAAGTAATGCAATTAATTTAAATAACTAATTTACCTGATTAATTTTCCTGAGTTCATTTGTTGCTTCGAAGTTATTTGGTTCCAGTTCTAATACTTTTTCATAATCTGAGTAAAATAGAAGAGTATTTGAAAGATAAATATTTAAAAACAATAATCATTTGTTGCAACGTGTGACAAACAGGCAACTGTCCTATAGCAAAATTTAGAGACACTAAGAAATTAAGAGAAACTAACGTTAGGCTACTGGGCTCTCTCATTCTCCCCCAGGACAGACAAAATCCTGACAGATCCCCTTCTTCCACCAGCCCCAGGAAGGATTCTTGCTATCATAAGTTGCACATCATAAAACCAAAAAGCAGCCGAATCTTTTAGACGTGAACTTTATTCAAACTATAATTTATATTACATAAACCAATTTTATGGAATAATAAAATGCTTACAAATGACAAATAAATAAAAATGTGTTAAGAGCTTTACATGCATTATCTCTAGCCTCACAATAGCCAACAGGATGTTTTCACCCCTATTCTACAGATGATAAACTGAAAATCAGAGAAGATACATAACCTTTCCCTGGTGACACAGCTAATACATGGTGGAATGAGAATTTGAACCAAAGTCTAATTGGTGGCAAATTATGCAATCTTTCCCAAAATATCAAGATAACTTTTAAATTACAAAAAATGAACTTTATTCAAATACAGGAAGCTCCCTGAAGGTAGTAACTCTGATTATCCAATATCCTTTGTATAACATCTATTAAACTATTTAATTTTTTTAGATAATGATGACCTGGAAAATATTAATACCTTTTTTGGCATCCTCTAATTTTTGCAAAGCAAATCGAGCAGCACCTCGTCTTGCGTAAGCCTTTGTATAACTCCTATTCAAGGCAATTGCTAAACTACAATCAGACTCAGCAACAGCAAACCTGCAATTTAAAAAAATGTAAAGTTACGTTAATAAAAATAATTTGTTAAACTAAAACTTCAAAATTTGTTTCTGAAATCCCCAAAAAGGGGATTAATTTCCCAACTGACGGGATGTTTCCCACCTCCTTTTACTTAGTTAAGCCTATTAAAAGCAGTAATTTTTGATGATAAAATGTTAAGTAGCAGTACCTTTAAAAGCAAAGAAAAAGAATGCCCACTATCACTGTTTTTTCTCAGTATTGTACTGTAAGTCCTGGTCAATATAGTTCCATAAGAAAGACAGACAGCTAAAAAGACTGGAAAGGAAGGAATAAAACTGACATTCTTAGATGATACAATGGTATACCTAGAAAACTCAAAACAATCTAGTGACAGTGTTAGAAATAACAAAACTTAGCAAGGTGGCTACTTTACTAGAGATCAGCAACAAAAAACAAATCTAACAAAAGATATCCAAGTCCCATATGCAGAAAGCTGCAAGACTGTCTTCAAAAACATTAAAGACTTAACTGCAGATATTTCACATTCATCTATAAGGCACAAAAACATAACTATAATTCTCTCCAAACTAATCTATAAATACAAAGCAACTGAAATCAAAATCCCAACAGAATTTTTCAAGGAATTTGACAAGATGATTCTAAAATTTATATTGATAAGCAATAGTCCAAGAACACCCAAGACATTCCTGAAGAATGAGATAGGATAACATGCCCTACAACAAATACCAAGACTTATAATTATGCTACAGTAATTAATGACAGTGTGGAATGGGTATAGTAATAGGCAACAAATCAATGTAAAGAACAGAGAAATGACAAAGAGATCCATGCGAACTCGACATATGACATAGTGGCAGGGCAGATCCATGGGGAAAGCATGGATATTCAATAAATAGGGCTGGAACAATTGTAATATTCATATGAAAAGATATGAAACTGGAATTCTATCTTTAGCATATATAAAAAGATATTGTGAAAAGTAAAACATAAAAACTTTTAGAATATAGGAGACTATTACGAGCTCAAGGATTTAACAAATCATAGTTTCAAAAGTGCTAACATTTTTTAAAAACATATTAAAGTTATGAATTTCTGCTTATCAAGACTCCATAAAGGAAAGATGATAAGCTACAAATTGGGAGAAGATAATTACTATAAACAAACACTAGAGGATTAGTATACAAAATAATTCTTAAAAATCAATACTAAAACAGCCTAACAAAAAAATGGCCAAAAGACAAAAAAAGCATTTCACAGAAAATACAAGTGGTGAATAATCCTATACTAAGCTGCTCAGCCTCATTAGAAACTGGGGAAATGCAATTTAAGACCACAATGAAATACCATTTCGCAACCTCTTGACTGAAAACAATTAAGAAGCCCTATTATACCAGTATTGGTAAAGATACAGAACAGGACTTGGGATGGTAAACACACAATATACAGATGACGTATTATAAAACTGTACACCTGAAATCTATATAATTGTATTAAGCACTGTCACCCCCATAAATTCAATAAAAAAGTAAAAAGAAAAAAAAAATACAGAACAGGCATTCTTATACACTGCTACTGGGAACTGTAACCTTGTACAACTACCTTCGTAACAACTGGTCATCACCATTTAAAGTTGAACGTGTGCACACCCTATAACCCAACACCAAGAAACATGTACAAAAGTGTTCATAGTATCACTGTTTTTAAATAAGGAAGGAAAGGAGAATGGGAGGTAGAGAGAGTGGGGAGAAGGAAAGGAAGGAGAGGAAGAAATAAATAAACCAACAATCCAGCAACAGGAGAATGGGTGCATAACAGTATATTCCTAAAAAGAAACTGTAACAGTGAAAATGAGAGATCTACAACTACATGCAAAACACGACAAATCTGAGAAATTTAATATTCAGAGAAATTTAAGATTACATTCAGTATAATATTCTTTTATAATTCAAAAACAAGTGTTATACAATGTATTATGTAGGGATACATATATAATGAACTTTTTTAAAAGAATGATAAATATACAACTCAAGGTAGTGGTTGTCTGAGAGGAAAAAGGGTCAGGATATAGAAAGGCGTACCAAAGTAGCCTCAAAATAATAACATTCTACTTCTTAAATTGTGTGATGGGTTCATGTGAGATTATTTTAAATTATTCTTCATCACTTACATATATTGTAGATATCAAATATTATCAAATATAAATATTCCCTTAATTTGTCAGGATATTAATAACATAAATTTCAAACATCTAAAAATATGCCACTTAGCCCTGGGTGGGTGGCTCAGATGGTTGGAGTATCATCCCATGCACCAGAAAGCATGGGGTTCAATTCCTGGTCAGGGCACATACCTAGGTTTTGGGTTTGATCCCTGGTCAGGCACCTATGGGAGGCAACCAATCAAGGTTTCTCTTTGATATTAATACCTTCCTTCCTCCCTTCCCTTCCCCTTTCCCTTCCTTTCTCTTCCCTTCCCTTCTCTTTCTCTCTCTCCCCACGCCCCCAAATCAATAAAAACATATCCTCAGTGAGGCTTATAAATAAACAAAATATGCTATTTAAAATAGTAAAAACTCAAGACATCAATATAATTCACATTTCCAAATGATAATTAAAATAGTAAGAATGTCTTCCTTGATGGTATTTGTCTTTTTAAAAATTCTTCTAATAGGTTAGTTCCCTGCATATGGTAATACCATAACACATTTATGTTCTTCAACAGTAAGAATGTATTTAGAGTCAGTGTGAGTTAAAATAAAAATGTTGGAACATATTTTAAGTTTACCATAATGAAAGTTCTCTAGGTTAATTAGTGGATAAGTAATTTTTCAAAATAATGGAAGAAAATTAATTTCTAAATATTTTTACTGAGCTAACTTCCTTTTACTTTTGAGAACTGGGTAAAAAACATCATTATTTGATTTATGGAGGAGGAACATATCAGTAAAGTGAGTTTCGGGGCATAGTTTAAGCACCTGAGTGTTTTAAAATGGCTTAAATAAAATAACTCAGTAAGAGGGAGTGAGCTATAAGAATTTACAGCTGAAAAGAAATGTAGTACTTTTTCAATCTTTCCCACCCATTTTATCATAAATTTTTTTAAAAAACATCACAGTCTCCAGCCCGGCCAGTGTGGCTCAGCGATCAAGCATCAACCTATCATCCAAGTGATCAAGGCTTGATTCCCAGTCAGGGTACATGCCCCGGTTGTGGTTTCGGGTTCGATCCCCAGCAGGGAGCAGGAGACAGCGATCAATGACTCTCTCACCATTGATGTTTCTCTCTCTCTCTCCTCCCACTCTCTGAAATCCAATAAAAACATTAAAAATATATATATATATCAGTCTCCATATACACATAAAATATGCACCCATTATGGAAATTCCTTACTTTTTCATTCTAAAGTATGCTGATGCTCTGTTTGTTGGCAACACGGGATTATATGGATCGGCATCCATGCCTTTGGTGTAGCATTCAATTGCTTCATCATATTTTCCTTGTTTGAAGTACTTATTGCCCTGAAAAAAAGCATACATCAGATATATATACACTGGCACAGAATTACAGGCCCAATCTTTATTCAGCATTATCCATCTCTTTGTAATTCACCAGCTGTGTGATCAAGGCTAACAGGAAAGAAACAAGAAAGAATAAAGCAAAATGGTCTTTTTACAAAGGTTGAAATTCACTATGCAGTCATAGTTTGGTCACAATCAGAGTCCTGGCAGGAAAGTGAGTAAAATACTGAACATTATATGCTTTTTACTGACAATAATCCATAGAAATGTGACCAAAAAAAGGTATCAAGATGAAGTTTAATTTGAAAAGAGTGCCCTCTCTTTCAAAGGCAGTATATCTAGATGTTTGCGCTCCTCAGAGATGAACATTCCAGAAGGAACCACAAGTGGCCTGAGACATGGAGTGAAACAGAATATTCAAGCCAAGAGTCACACGCTGATCTTAAGTTACTTCAGTCTACTACTAAAACCCCGAAACGACTCTCTCTAATGGTCTAAGCACTTCTGCATGTAAGAATTCATTTAATATTCACAACAACCCACTGAGGTTTATTAATAATACTAATCTTATTTTACAGTTGAGAAAACTTAGTACAGGCAATTTAAAGAACTTGTCACAGCATCTGAACCCAGGTAATCTGGTTTCAGAACATACACTCCTAACCACTAAACTATACTGCCTTCCGATAGGGATAAAGCCAATAACAACTTAAAGTGTGAACACTCCCTCAACTACATTGAAGAAATCTTGGGATCTACATGATTTTCTATACTTCCTACCTACCTGAGGGAACCTAAAGCTAACCTAAAGAATACCTTTTCTTTTAGAGCAAGGGCCATTTGTGAATCTACACGAATTCCATCTTCTTCTGACTCAGATTCTTGAGACACAGAATCATGGGTACTCTCTTCTTTGTCAAGTTCATCAAGGATACTGTCCTGAAATCATAAATAGAAGAACAATGCTCATAATTACATGAACATTTTTTTAAAAAAGCATACAATAAAAAGTACACTCAACAGAACTTAAGTTGTTATTATCTAAGGACCTAAAGACCTATAAAAGCAAAGCAAATAATCTCTTTGTTAAGACTAGAGCCAGAGAAAAAGCTACCCTTGTTTAGAAAACCAAGATCAAACCACTTAAAGAATATGACTCTGAACTCATAAAATAAGCTAAGTCTATAGAGTCTACAAACCACCCCTAAATCACAATCTATTAGCAGTGAGGTACTATGGTTTGATGGAATCAAAGTTTGCAAATAACCCCAAACTAACCTAATAACAACCAATAGAAAAGAAAGGGTTTTTTCTAAAAGCCTTTTTCCTTTCTTATTTTTAAAACAACAATAACTGCTTGTAAAGCACCATTAACTCCTGATTCTCAAAATAACCTATGAAGTAGGTATAATTATCCTTGATTTTCAGTTAAAGAAACTGAAACACAGAAGTTAGTTAACTCACTCCAGGTCTCTCAGCTAGTAAGTGGCCGAGTCAGGGTTTGAAACCAGTAGTCTGCCCTCTCCAGAGAGCTCTCAATGACTATTTTATATTGTCTTGTAGTATAAAAAAAAGAAAAAGGCTATGTAAGAAGGGGAAAAGTTACAAAAAATAAAAGCAAACTATATAATACACTAAGCAGAGAACAAATCATATATTCAGAAAGTATCATTTTCAACATCAATAAATTCAAGACCCAAATCATACTTCTCTTACATCAGGACAATACTGAAACAGAAGGCAGAGTACTTAAATAATAGTGCCAGATCTCTCTTGAGTCAATTAGCCTTGCTTGGTATCATTAATAAAAATACAACTAATTTGGAAAACCATTTGGCAGTATCTTCTAAAGTTAAATGTACATGTAAACTATGACCCAGCAAATTCCACCACAGGTGCTTATATCTATCAAAAGACACGTACAAAAATGTTCATAACGGGTTTAATCATAATAGCCCAAAATTGTAAACCCAAATGGATACACAAATTGTTATATATTCACACAGTTAAAATCTGATCAGCGCTAAAAAAGAACAAACTACCGTTACTGACAATATGGATCAATCTTAGACAATGCTGGCAAAAGAAACCAAATACAAAAGACTACATATGTATGATACATTTACAGTACATGAAATTCCAAAACTGGCAAAACTGATCTATAATATTAAAGATCACAACAGTGGCTACCCTTGGAGGTAATCAATTGAAAAGGGAGGCTGGTGGGATGCTGGAAATGTTCTGTATCTTGATCTGGATGGTGGTTTCTCAGGTGAATACCTGCGTAAAAATTCAGGCAGCTGTACACTTAAAATTTTTGGACTTGATGTATGCTACATATCAATAAAAAATTAAACAAAGAAGGGCAAAGAAAATAATAAACATAAAAATAAGAATAGGGGTTATGTCTGGGAGTAGGAGAAAAGAAGATGGAATAGGGAAGGAGCAAACTGGCGCTTCAACAGGATTAGAAAATTTTTCTTTAAATTGGATGGTGGATTCACATAGTACACTGAACTTTTTTGCTGAGCTGGGCTATTCTCAGGCTGGTAACTAAGATAGCACTTGTCTTGGTCAGTGTAATATGGGTGCCCACATTACTGCTACAGTTTGTACATTCACCAAAAGAACTTCTGGTTTTAGACACACAGGGGGGCAGAAAATCAATATGTAGTAATCTTTTAAGCCATCAGCTGACTCTTCACCATCAGAAGTCTGACTGGTTTCTCTTCTGCCTTTCAATTTCTTTCCCAGCATCAGGTTTGTTTCTTTACAGGGTAGGGCAAAAGTAGGTTTACAGCTGTTTGTATAATAATAATACAAAAATAAACTGTGTTTCATGCACTCTCAACTGTAAATCTACTTTTGCCCCATTCTGTATTCATTTTATTATTTAGAACATGTATCTCCACATGCTCTTTTGTATGAATCACATATTACGTAATAAACACATTTTAAAAGAATAAAAGGGAATGTATATTACAAATCAATCTAACCAAATCAACCCTTAAGATGGGTCAGACCCTAGAATAAGGCTGGCCAACAGGTTCCCTGACTTGACAGTGGCTGCTTGGAGCACTGATAGACGGTTCTGAGGTGGAATACTGGCTCTCCAGTTACACCTGTGTCACAGTGGGAGATGGGAAGCGCGCACTACACTTCTGCTATACCTGGTCTCCCACCTTTTTGGGATCAAGAAAGATCTGTTTTTATTGTCTTACAGTCCCAGCCCTAAGACTAGACACAAAGGCATTCTCTTTTAGCCAATATTCAATAGGTCTTTCCGTTTATTAAAAAAGGTAATGGCAGAGTCATTCTTTCCTGGGAATATTACTACCTTAGAATTCAGGCTGTTTAGGGATTAAAGGTGGTGGGAAGGAGGGAAGTGGGTGCAAATACAAATGGGTAACATAAGGGAGATCTTTGTGGTGATGCAATATTTCTGTATCTTCATTACATTGGTGGTTACTCAAATCACCCCATGTAATATATATATATATATTGTACCAATGTCAATTTCCTGGTTTTGATACTATACTATAGTTAAGATGTAATCATTGGGGAAAAGTAGGTGAAAAGTACACTGAACCTCTATGTGCTATTTTTATTCCACATAAAATGTTTGTAAGAGAAAGAAACAGGTTGTAAGAATTCGACATTACTTTACATTTAATCCATGATGCTCAGCTAATGCCAAGAAAATTTTACTCAAATGCTAAGAAGCACATAACTAGATTAACTTACCACATCAAGTTTTGCCCATGCCTCATAATCATAAGACTTTATCCTGTTTTTTGTGTTTTCATCTTTGGTTTTTTTAGAAGACTCTTTCACTTTACCTTTCTTCTTTTTCCTAAAATTCCTATTTCGAATAGGAGGTAAATTCTAAGGAGGGGGAAAAAAACACATTTTGAGCACCACCCTATTAATTTTTTGTATAACTAGTGATGTTTTAAATTATCACTAAATTATATTTCATGTAAGAAGTATTTTTAAATTTAATTTTCAAGTGCTTAAAAATACCAATTTACCACCTTCAGTTATAATGATAATTTACATTTGAAAAGTTTAATTCATCCTTTGACAAATGTTGAACACTGTTCAGTCACAAGCAAAGTATTACTCATAATTTTAATTATACACTTGATTTGCAATCCTAAATTCAAACTTCAGCCTTAATACAATGAATTAGCAGTAGTACAATGGCAAACTGAACTGTCTCCACATCATTACATATAGTATGAAAAATGCAGTCTTTAGAAAAACATTTGATTAAACCTAGGTACTATCTACATTTTTATGGCAATAGTCTACGTGAATGTCATTAAATATATAATTATATATGATATACATGATATACATATATATTTTATGATGCTATTCATTTACTTTAAGGATTATCATATGGTCCTTCTTTCAGTAACTATTCACTAAGCCTTAAAATGTCTTATTATAGTTAATACAACTAATACAAAAACTTTTAAAAGCAGGATTTTCCAAAATGTTGGCAGGAAGCAAATCACTTCGATTTCAGTATTTTCACAAACCATTTTAAAAGGTGCTTTATTTTAAAATAAATAGTTCTGCTGGATTCTGAAGTCAGAATTTAATCAAGAAATTTACCTCTTCAGGGACACCATTCTGTCGTCTTAATTCCATATCCTTTTGTTTAATATCTTCTTCCCAGTTTTCTAGATCCTTCATAAAGTCTTGTAATTCTTCTGCATTTTGTTTCACTTGTAGTTGTAATTCAATTGCTTTATTAGTTGAAGTCATTATGGCCTGCTGAGTTTTGACCAACCAACCTCTAACAAGAATTATTAGAGAATAATTAAAGAATTAAATTGAATTATTTGCTTGGCTTATTTTTTTAAAATATAACTAATTACTTTTTACCTTGTCATAAATGGCTAAGAAACATGGATAGAGGACAGCCTAAAGTGATACTGAAGAAAGAAAATATCAGTATGTTATTTTTTAAATGGGTCAATCAATGTTTGCTGAATAAACAAATTTAAAAAATTAAAAACAAGTTTGGGCATCCCCACAATGCAATACGAATGAAAGGCAGTGGGGAGGGAATCACTGAAATCAGCAAGTAGCCATTGTAGCGGATTAGCTACTAATCTCGAGAAATAATAAAATTATCCTAATTAACTCCTTCCCTCTTTTTTCTTTCAACATTTATTGAACTTCTGCAATGTGATAAGTCCTGTATCAAAATTTAGGGATGCAAAAACAAGTAAGAAAAGTCCCTTGTCTAGTGGAGAAAAAAAACAAAACAATCAAATACTGAGTAGCAAAATATTATGTTAGGCAGGGTTTCTCAACCTTGGGACTACTGACATTGTGGACCAAAATCATTCTATTTTGGAAGGGGACTGTCCTGTGCATTGGAAAGTTGGCAACATCCCTGGCCTCTACCCACTAGGTGCTAGTGTTACAACCTCCCCTCCAGACTGTGACAACCAAAAATGTCTCCAGGTATTGTCAAATGTCCCCTGAGAGGCATAATAACCCCTGGTTGAGAAGCACTGTGCTAGAAATACATACAAATGCTACGGGACTGACCACAAAGGACAGTGTAAGCCTACTGCATTGCCAGTGGTAGATTCAAGAAAATAGATCCCAGAGGTGCTGCAACTTCAGGGGAGTTTCAAAAGGGGCCAGCCAAGTGATTTACATGTAGGAGTCAGCAGGCACAGTGAGGAACTATGAAGGACTCTTCCATGAAAGAGAAGGCTAACAAGGTGGAATTGAAACAGATCTTGATATGTTAGAAAGCTATGTGAAAGTACTAAGGTGGTAAAATAAAAGGGACATGGTAACTGATTAGACTGAGGAACTGCAGAGCACAGAAGACTCAGTCAGTGTCTTAGATTTCTTGTTTGGGAGTCTGGTAAGGTTCGTGGTGACATTTTGAGTCAGGAATCGCAATTTTAAAAGGATACGAGGTTTCAGGATTGGAGGACAAATAAAAGACAGGTATTTCAGTTTGGGATATGTTTTATTTGAGTGCTTATGGGACATCAGGAGGACATATCTAGTAGGTAGTTACACAGGGCTAGAGTTATAAATTTGGGTGTCACTGGCATAAAGGTGGAAACTGTGACTAGGGGGTGGGAGGGAGGTTGCTGGAGGACACTAATACTTAAATAAACCAAGGAAGAAATGCTGACATAGGAAATACCAGGCAGGAGCACCTAGGGAGATGGGAGGAAAACTTGGAGAGCACCATCACAGAAGAGTATTTTCAAGAGTTCAAGAAGGTGGGATGGGTTAGCAGTGCCAAATGCCACCGAGGTCATACAGGGGAAAGAAAATTTTAAAGATTAAAATATAATATTTATATTTAGTCTTACAAAGATTATTGAGTTTTAATGGGATTTTTTAAAAGAATGGAAATAAAATGAGCTGAGTAAATGAGATTACTACAAGAGAATTAACATAATTTTGTCTTTGATAACATAAGATTGCTCAAGTGCCACATAACCACATTTGCATCAACAACAACCCACACATACAACCACGGTCCCATAAAATAATGGAGCTGAAAAATTTCTATCACCTAGTGACATTGTAGCCATTGTAACACATGCATTACTCATGTGTTTGTGGTAATGCTGGTGTAAACCTACTGCACTGCCAGTTGTATAGAAGTAGACCACATACAATTATACAGGACATAATATTTGACAATAAAAGACTATGTTACTGGTTTATGAATTTACTATACTGTACTTTTTATCATTATTGTACTCTTTCTACTTATTAAAAAAAAAAAGTCTGCTACAAAACAGTATGCTGTTACACCAGCAGCCTCATACATCTCGTGTTTACTAAGTCTCTTCATTCCATCATTTTCTCTTGTGCTTGACTTAATCTAAGTTGTTTTGTATAGTAACATGTTGTACAAGCTCATAGCCTAAGACCAATAAGCTATACTATGTAGCCTAGGTGTGTAGTGGGCTGTACCAAGTTTGTGCAAGTTCACTCTATGACTTCCCCACGACTACAAATCGCTTAATCACAAATTTCTAACAACTTTTCCCAGAACGAATCATCATTAAGCGGTGCATGACTGCTGGAGGGGTCTGGGAAGAAACACGGTAAAAGGAGATATAAGAAGGAGGATAAGTGATGGTACAAGGTCACCAAAGGGTGATAGGAGAGGATTCAAAGCTTAAAGGAGGAGGGGAAAGGGGGAGTAAGATGGGGGAGAGAAGTGATTGGAAAAGGGATTCCTCAGGGAAGGAAGAGATGGTTGCAAATGCAGATAGGTCCTCTGACCCCCACCCAGTCTGAACTCAGAAGCTAAACTAAGTTTAAGCTCCTTTCGGGCAGTGCCAATGTTTGATCGCATATCTCATTAAAAAACAAAACTAATACAATGCTTTGCTGGGGACTCAAAAATAGGAACAGAAGTGCAGCAAGCCACTGAGATGCTGCAGGGGGTCAGCACAGTTTCCACTTCGCCCATCACCTCTGCTACCCCTGCAGGCCAACTACCTACTCGCGCGGAACCTGCGAGGGGGCAGCGTGAGGGCCAGTCAGGGAACCAGAAACTTCCAGCGCTGGGGCGGGGGGGGCACTTTCCCACCCAGTATCCAGGCGGCCACCGCGCACCCACGCCGAGAGGGGGCGGGCCCCACCGCGGACCTCTCCGCGGGGTGGACCTGCGGTCCTGCCCACAGCAAATCGCCCAATGCCGGGGCAGCCGGGGTGGAGGGGCAGTCAGCAAAGTAGAACGTCCAGGCCCCGGCGGCGCGGGGCGAGCCCCTCCCGGAGCGCGCCCCC